TTTTTTTCTTTTTTCTTTTTCTTTTTTCTTTTCTTTTTTTTTTTTGTGCTTTTGAGTCAGTTTTTGACTCCTGGTGACTGAGTGGACTGGTCCCTGCAATTTTCTTGGCAAGATTTTTTGAAAGCAGTTTGCCATTGCCTTCTTCCTAGGGCTGAGAGAGAGTGACTGGCCAAAGGCCACCCAGCTGGCTTTGTGCCTAAGGCGGGACTAGAACTTACAGTCTCCTGGTTTCTAGCCTGATGCCTTAACTACTACACCAAACTGGCTAAGGACTTAAAGTCTGCTAATACTTCATAGAAATAGTAATAAAGTTTTCATGAATCTAGGAATTTCAGTTTATATTTTAGATTCTCTGTAATGCAAAAACTATTCTGCTTCTTTGAATAAGCTGAATTTATTTTGGTATTAACTGGCTTCTGTATCTGTTTCCATGATTGCGAATTAAGTTATGCAGTTCTCCTTGGTATGCTAATGCTTCAAGATCTATATGTGCTAGATTAATTCACTATTGTCGCATAGTGTTGTCAATAAACTGTAACAGTCAATGCAACTTTTTGTTGATCGATTCCATAAGTAGCTTTGATTCTCTCTTTGAAAACTGAAAAAAAATCATTCTCATTTGCATTTAAGGAAGGATTTTCTAGAGTTAAGTCTAAGTTACAGTGTGTCAGCCATGTAAGGTAGACCAAACTAAGAAACCAATGCCAGTATAGGTCAGGACTGCTTTTACTGTACTATCTACAATAACAGAATTTTGCAAGTCTGAATGTGCTTCCCCGCTCCCTCCCTCTATCTTAGTGTGAACTAGGGAGGGGCCTGTCTGAAACGTTTTTTCAGACTAGTTTCTTGGAATGGGCTTCTCTGCTTCTCTGATTGTTGCCTTGGTAGTGGTTCTTCTTCCTGTCCTTCAAGGCCATTCCCTATTCTCTTTACACATTGGGTATATCTTTTTAACTTGACCGATACATGTTCAAACAACATACAGGCATAGAATAAATGTATGTGTCACAATTTTGTATGAAGATTTGTCCATTTTCTTTTCTAGTTCCTGAGGCACCAGATCGGCCTACTATTTCAACAGCATCAGAAACCTCTGTTTATGTCACTTGGATCCCACGTGCAAATGGTGGATCACCTATCACTGCCTTTAAAGTAGAATATAAACGTGTTAACAGAAATAATGAATGGCTAGTTGCAGCAGATAACATCTCCCCTTCTAAACTTTCAGTGGAAGTTGGCAATTTGGATCCAGGTATTCATATACATGCCTTGTCCTAATGACTGCAGATCATATGCAGTATTAGTGATATGTTGTCCAGATGTGATACAACCTAGCTGAAAATCCTATTGAACCATATCAATCTGATCTTAATGCTGCCAATCTGAATACAGCTCAGGAAGGTTACCAGCTCTGTGGCTTATCAACTGTAAAATCTGTTTCAGCAAGTATTTGTGCAACATTTTTAAATTAAGCATTGTAAGGCTATCTGATGAGATCATTACTATCAGGAGTCATTACAGTCAATGAAAATCTGGCATGTGTGGATCAAGACTATGCCCTGCTACCTATTCGTCCTGATAAAAAGTAATCTGTCTAATATTCAGCCGGGGTAGATGTTAGTTGGGGAAAGGGGTGTTGACAGACCCAGGCCTAGAGCTACATAAATAGGGAATGGACAACATGTGGCTTTCCTGGTGTTGCTGAATTCCTGTTTGCCTAGATACCATGGTGAGCAATGGTAGAAATAGCAGCTCCAACATCTGGAATTCAATATGTTCTTCATTTCTCCTTACCCAGAATGGTGTTTATTTAATCTCCTTCTGTCTCTTTCTTTCTTTTTTTTTCCTAAAAGGAACTGCATATAAATTCCGTGTAATTGCTGTTAATAATTATGGAGAAAGCCCACGAAGTTCTCCCTCACGACTGTATAACGTGGCTGGCTTTACCAACCGATATTCCAACCGCCCCATTGCAGGACCTCATATTGCTTATACTGAAGCAGTCAGTGACACCCAGATCCTGTTAAAGTGGACTGTAAGTATACAGTTCTTCTTCTGGAAATAATGTTTTATGTTTTTGAAAAGATACAATGTGTGTAATAAAACAGTTTTGCTCACTAACCACCTTAGAATAAAGATCTGTACTCTTAGACTCTTGTGGATAGACAGTGCTACATAAAAAGCTTGGAGCATTTAACATGCATTCTATAAATGTAATCTAAACAGGCTGTTGTTTACATACAGTGGTTTTCCTTTTAGCTCATTTATATTGTTTAGTGCAACATGAAAGGTAAAATTGAATGATGAAAATACAATAGAAGATTCAAATGAAAATGACATATTAATGCTGATATCCAATTAAATTTTTTAACTTGGATTCTAAGGAATTATAGTTGTTTCAGTTTTTAATTATTGTATGTATAAGTTAATTTTTTTAAATTGAAGATGAAAATACACTATAAAATTGAACTCTTTCCCTGCTTAGTAGTTTAGTTTAAATTGCTTTTTGTAGTTTAGTTTATCAATGTCATTAAATTTATCTTCTCTACACCCTCCTTCATTCCTTATTCTGAACTCTCAATGTTTAAGTATTTCTGTTTTAGTATATTACTTCAAGTAACAACAACACACCAATCCAAGGATTTTACATTTATTATCGTCCAACGGATAGTGACAATGACAGTGATTACAAGCGAGATATTGTAGAAGGTAAGATCCATGCACACCTAAGTCCCTTGTATTCTGCCTTAATGCATGGAGGTCTGATTAGGCTGGATGTAAATATTATCCTTGAATAATTATAAGGACTGTATAATAATAACTCATTGGATATACTGACTTAGGAATTCTGAGAGTTGTACTCATACTTTTAGAGAGCAACAGGTTAGGAAAAGGCTGATACAGAAGATGCCTATTTGCCAAAAACTTGTCATAAGCCTGAGCATATAAAAGTGATTTATCAGTGATTTCCAGATGGTACCTAAATAAAAAATTGGCTTTGAGTTTAACACAGTAAATCTCACAGATGAACTTTCCGCTGCTTTACTCTGTATGTTTGTGTGTATGTGCGTGTATCTGTGTATGTGCATGTATGTATGTACACACAAAAAAATTTATTAAAAAAATTATATCTGTAAATCAGTAGAGAGCTATATCAAAGTATAATACCAGGAATATTGCCAGCAACAAAAAAGGAAGTCTTCAAGTCAAGCTTGACTCTTGACGACTTCATGTACATGTTGTGAGGTTGTCTTGGTATGGAAGTGGTTTGCAATTGCTATCTTCAGGGTGTGTTTTGGTTTTTGTTTTACTTCCCAGTCTAACCTTTAGCTCTGATATTACCCAGTCTTCCATCCAAGTAGTTACCAGGCTTGGCCCCATTTAGCTTCCAAGCCTAGACAAAATCAGCCAAGCCTCCCTAAATAAACCTAAGATTCAGAATCAGTGAATATAATGAGTCCTAGGCCCCATTATCTCTTTCATAGATTTAAAAAGCTATTGTGGAAAAGCAGGACTTAAACAACAAAACTAATCAAGCATTTCATATATACATTCCTTGGTCATATGCCTAGCCATGCTGTGTGCTGCTCAGATTCCAAAACTTGAACTGTGTTCTGCCAGATTTTCTTGTTACAGTTTGTCGGTTATCTTTCCACCTTTTCATGAAAAAGACAGGTTCTAATTTGGGAATTAATTGCTTTTCCTGCACATATACAAATGCAGAGTTTCATAGATTTTTAACTTTTGTCTCTTAAATTTTAAGAACACTTTCTGTACCTTTTTTTATAACTCACCTCATTTGAAAGAGTATAGTTGTATTAAACAGCATCTCCCTATGCTTCTCCCCCCACCCACCCAGGTACAAAAATATGGCACATGATAAACCATCTACAACCTGAAACATCATATGATATTAAAATGCAGTGCTACAATGAAGGAGGAGAAAGTGACTATAGCAATGTGATGATATGTGAGACTAAAGGTAAGAAACAGTTGTTGCTTCTGATCGTAAATCTGACTTATTGTTATAAACAAACTTGGTCAGTCTCAAAACAAATATTTATCAAAAGGGAAAAAACATTGTGTAACTAGTGTATATCTTATTGTGCCTTTCAGAACTAAAACAGTGCTCTTTAACTGAAGACACGTACAATAATATGGCAATCTTTACCTTCTCATTTTTTGTCATTCTTCTTTGATTGTTTGTGATTATTCATTATATCACAAAACAAATGCATCTAATTAATAGTATTCTGTAACTTATGGGCTTAATAATTTGAAGGCATTTTCAGCTATTGCTGAAGTTCTGCATAAGGCCAGAATGACACTTGCATGAATTTGCCATTTAAGATTTATTCATGAAACCTTTTTGTTTTATTTCCAATTAGTGAAGCGCTTGCCTGGAGCATCTGAATATCCAGTAAAAGACCTTAGTACACCACCTAATTTCCCTGACCGTGGAATTGGGAGCAATGCAGGTCAACCAAATGGTCCAGCCCGGAGTAGCAACATGCTGTATCTCATTGTAGCCTGTGTCCTTGGAGTGATGGTTTTCATTCTGATTGTCTTCATTGCCATGTGTTTATGGAAGAACCGCCAGCAAAATGCCTTGCAAAGTAGGTTACTTTTCATACCTGATCACCTTATTTTATTCTATCATCTATAAGGACTTATTCAATATTACATCTTATCCCTGCTTTATCAGTACTCTGGAAGAACAGATAATGTTTATATCAGTTTACTTTTCTCAGCTTGCAAATCCTCTATAACCCAGGTTGTAACAAAATACTGTGCAGCAGCAGCGAAAATGAAGCACCAACTAATAAAGATCTCCTATGATTATGACTCAGTTTATTTGTTAACCATCTTGGTATCATCCAATATTTTATTTAACTATCTTTATTAGTGTTTATTACTAATAAATTTAGTAATTTAGATAGAGTACTATCTAAAGTAATTAGATAGTAATTACTTTATTACTATCTTTGCTATTCTATTCTATTCTATTCTATTCTATTTTTTTATTATCTTACTAGTGTTTAATATTCCTGGCCTTGGTAGGATTGATTGATTCATAATTACCTTGGCTGACAAAGTTATGAAAATATGTAATCCATAAGTTTTGCTATGTATTTTTATCATGATCTCCACTCAAATGTGAATATAAATAAAGAGAACAAATTTGTAAATATGCAATGAAATCTAATGCTTACTCTGACCCCAAGCCTTCCTGATTTGGCAAATGGGGATTAGCTCCTGCAGGGCTTCAAATTTCCTTTTTCTGAAAAGTGCAACCAACTATGCTATTTGCTTTAAATTACATTTAGGGAGATTCCTCCTGTTATAAGATTTGCTATAAAACGAAACTGTTAATTGACATGGTATATAAACTGAGCAGTGAAAAACAGGCCAAGATCTCCCTCCATTTGCAGTACATCAAAGTTAAGTTGCAATTTCTAGAGAATTTCTTCTTTCTTGCTTCTATAGAGTATGACCCTCCTGGCTATCTCTACCAAGGTACAGATATCAATGGACAAATGGTTCAGTATACAACTCTACCAGGGACAAGCCGTATTAATGGTGGCATACATGGAAACTTTATCAGTAATGGAAAACATAATAATGGATGCCTTCACCTCCATCATAAGGTTCCTAATGGAATAAATGGGATCATGAATGGTGCTATCAATGGAGGAACTGGTGTTTATCCAGGACATTCTAACTCCCTCTCCAGAGCACACATAGAATATGAGCACACCCATCACACAGGAAATGTAAGTAAACTCTATACTTTATAGGTCAGGCTCTTGAAGCTTCGATTCTTATGAACATTAGGAAATGAAAGTGAAGGTATTACTCTGCTTAAGAGATATGTTGTAAATGTCATAGTATCCCAGTATCTTGTTCTTGAAGATCATATCACTGGATTCTGTTAAAGTAGGCTAAAATTACTAAAATTAAAAACTTCATCATGAAAGCAATAAATATGCACTTAAAGATACGCTTTAAAAGTCATCTTTGTTAATATAATAGTTGGAAACCTGAACACGTGCATTTGCTGATAAGCTGTATGTTCTCCCTATACCCTCATTTTTGTATAGATCCTGAGTAACTGAATTCGTAACAGTCAGTGTTTTCTAATGGAAACAGTATTGCTGAATGGAAACATACAAAGATTTTCTAATTCCTATGGTTACTGAGAAGTTCTATTACCAGGCAAAGATGCATGATTTTGTTTAAACTTTCAGAGTTTCTAGAAATTAAAAATTTAGTACATTAAGAATAAGATTATTGTATATAAATTTGTGAAGTTGATTGAATTAACAGGTTCAATTAAGAATTAATATTGCAGATGGGCTAGGTTTGAAGTGTTTTATTTTATATTGCATGTTAATAATTTGATGCTATTTTATCAAGTAGTTAATATGCATATGTAAATCTAATGTGAAGTGCATTAGAGATAATAAGCACATAGTTAGAGGTAATTTGTACTAAGTTTCCATGTTTATTTTTGAGTTGTATCCTGCGGTGTCTTTCTGCCGAGAGAGTAGACATTTCTGGCAGATTAAATCCCTCCTCTCCCAATATTAAAGGATCCCCCACAGCAGATTTAATGGGGACAGGGGGGAAGGAAAAAGGAATTTTAATCATGAGAACAGAAATCTGTTTGAATAATATTGGATGTAGCTTTTTGTGATCTTGAAAGCTGCATTCAAATAATCCTGATCAATTCACTGCCCATTTTCACAACTTAGCATTTATGTCATAATAGTAGTGCCATTTGTCCTTTGGATACCCTTCCCAACCTGTTACATTATCTTGAGATTTTGATGATACTGTAATGTGAGATTAGGGGATTCCTAGCAGACAGGTGATTCACTTTTTTTTTAATTTGCACAGATTTGAGCTGTGCCAAAACCTGTCACTTTGTGGCTAATCTGTGATTCAGAACTAATTTTAAGTAGTGCCTTTAATTACATTTCAGTGTGCCAAAAATGGGGGCTCATAAAGAATTTGTTGTTGTTGTTCTTGCTCAGCCACAGCATAATATCTGCTTTCTAAACAGCTGAGACTGGAGCTAGTGTCTTTTTAAGAACATACTATTCTAATCATGTCTGTTTTGAAAAACACAGTTCTTAGGATGTATTTTTATTAAATAATGCTTTCCTTACCAGTGGTGCTCATGCTGAGCTGAAGACAGTTCAGATAGAGGTTTAAGATACGAGGATGAAGAATGTGGGTTTATATTAAGTTGTTCTTGCTGCTTGAGTAGCAAGAGATCAGGAGGAGCTGCTAGGTTAGAGGTCCTACACAAAACTGTTTGAATGTTTTATGGGAAACAAGGAATGTGTTCAGAAATTAAGTAACATTATCTGTTCTAGTGGGAGGGCGATAAGGCAACTGTTTGCTCTGGTAATTGAAAATAAACATTTCATGGAACAACAGATTGCCAGAAGTACAAGAGTTGCTGTTCAGATAACCTTTTAAGTCTTTCACAGTCTCCTTGTTTTCTTGTTGTAGCACTCTTAGATCCTTAAGACCCATTTAAAAGCTAATTCAAACATTGATTTTAGAAATATTTAAATGTAAGCATAGAGAGGAGCATGGATGCAGCCACTGTGAAATTAAATTAGAGCCTGGGCGGCTGGGTGGGTATACTGAGAACACAAACTTAAAACAGGTGTTAAAGACTTTCCTTTAGATGCTTCTCAAAGGCCTAATTCTCATGTTTAGATTTAACTCTGAGTAACATTATTTCATTTCACACAAGTAGGAAATCTCTACATTCAGCATTCAGTGTGCAGTTATTTCAAAGATTCCAGTGCTTATCTTGGTCAATGTCTTTGAGAATTTTGAAACTATCTTTTGTGGCTATTCATCACTTACTGAGTTTTAGTCAGTTCATATCCTGCTTTTCTTCCTAGGGGTTATGCCCTACATGCCAGAGTCCTGAATAGAAAGTAAGAATCTGCACTGAAACACTGATTTTGCCCTTTGAACTAAAAAAGACCCCTCACAAATGTTATGGAATTGAAAATAGTGTGTACATATATGCAATATTTTCAAATAAGCCTCTTCACAGAATTATAGTTCCCAAGATTCATAGGTGAGGGAAAGCTACCTTTCGCCCCCCCCAAATAGTTTAATTACTTTATCGTATAAGCATGCAGCAACTTGGGAATGATTGTTGTCTTGAGTTTGGCTTCCAGTAAGGGATCTGAATATTTAAAATGCAGATTTATATTACTATCTGTGCTGCCCTGTCTGCAAATATTTCTCAGATCTCCCATATACATAGTATTTAGCAATGAGGTATGTGTGAATAATCGTATTTTTTATTTGCAAAGATTCTACAGCCAAAACCAAGAGCTCAGAGCCCTGCTTGTCCATCACTTTTGGCTGACAAATTAATGCATCTGTAAAAATACAGCAAATTTCAAACCCAGAGTTTAGTCAAGCAAGCTGATCTAATTGGAATAATTGGAAGAAACTGGGACAGATTGATTATATTTCATCAGTCACACATGCAACATCCTGTCTCCACCAACAGACAGTAGTTTCCAGTAAAAAAAAATTCCCTTCATGCCTGTCATCAGTGTGTGTAGCATTTTCAGTTTTTTCAAATTAAATTTGGGCATTTCAAGCTGAAAATAAGGCCAGGGAAATTATGATGTACATGTCTAAGATACAACTTTTTGCTTTGCTCTAGCACATAAACTGAGATTTCTGCCTTATAAAACAGAACTTCTGGCAAGGCTGTATGCTTTTCCTTTCAAATGAATGGCAGTCTTCATTACCGAATGTAATGAAATATATTGTGCCTGCTTGTTTAACTGTCACTTATGGAATCATTTGTGTTTCTTTATTTTAATTTTCAAATATTTCCATTCCCCCATCATCCAGGGTGGTGAAGGATACACATCAGTCCCTCAGACAGACCCTTCAGAGTATCCCAATTGCAGAAACTGTCGTAACAATAACAGGTAATCAAACAAAAGAAAGAACAAAATGATCTTTGGATCTCTGAATTTGAACCTCCACAGCTTAGCAATTCCAACTATGTATTTAGCACTGCATCTTGATATTTGCATTATTACCATTCCAGATTTATACATGGGAGATGCTATATGGTTTCTAGAAACTGGCATCCTTGGTGACCTTCCTGCTTTGAGGAATTTAAATTCTTCAGTGTATTAAATGAAACAAGAGATAGACAAC